CAAAAAGAACTGGTCTTAGCATAGTACAAGATAAAAACATTCCAACTTCAACTTTTTCTTTTACACATTAATATATAATTAGCTATTTCTATAACAACAAATCTTTCTGATCAATAAAACCAGGGTCAAAGTCTCATTTATGTATCAAAATGCCTGTACATCCTTTATAAGTCTAGCATTTATTAGTTCTGTTAACAATGGAGTCATAACATCTAGAACAGACACACTTTGTTATGATTCCATGTTATGAGTCCTGCAATCATGGGTGGAGAGTAATGTACTTAAAAACTCTTATTGGAACAGTTTCAAATGTACTCATTTTTAATAACTGCAGAAACTGTAAATTGTAAATTAAAATGAGAACGTTTCCTCTCTGATGGGAATTGCTGGGACTCTGCCCTTCATTATAGAGAGGGATCTGTGTTCTGAAGCCTTATATCTATTTGTTAAAACCTTTTATGTTGCTCATTTTATTCTTCATGCTGCCAGCAACATGGTCTAGCCTTAACTATTCTTCTATTCCACAGTGGGACTAGAATGTTGCTGCACCTTTTTGTCTATGATCAGAAATGCAACCGCTTCTAATTCCAAACGATGTATATCTCTATATAACATTAATGTGTAACTCGTTCTGGCTCAAAAGGATGGGTTACATAATTATTCTTTGTGTTACTGTCAGTAAATTTTAGTTCATAAACCTGTATCTCCTGCTATCTTCTATATCTATGTAGAGTACAAACTAGTTTCTGTGATAAATGCTATGTATAAGGAATCTTATCCTCAATCTTAATGTGACGAAGAACGGGTTTCATTCTTTCACAATTCTGTTTTAATTTATTGCTGATGACCAGGAAAGCCATTTGAGCCAGCAACAATTCTGAGAGCTGCAGCCGCCAATATCATAGTTTCTTTTTTACTTGGCAAGAGATTTGAATATGAAGATGCTATACTTCTAAGACTCCTGGAAATACTTGAAGAAAATTTACACCTTGCAGGAACCCCTGCTGTGTGGGTAATGTGAAATTTCATATGAAATAAACTTCATTCCTACAGTGTGTAAATGATTAATTCATAAGGTTTGGAATTCAATCGATTAGAAATCTTAGTCAACCATAGCTCCAGAACCCATGTATTTTATTGTTATTGATGATGATTTTGTAGACTATGGAACAAAACTTATTTGGATAAAAATGCTTTGAGAGATCTACCAGAGAATATATTTATTGTATTCAGTTCTGTTAATATGCTACCTCTCTTATAATTCTTTCAGATGTATAATGTGTTTCCCAAGTTGAGATTCCTTTTGTGTGCTCATAAAAAAATAATGAATAACCGAAAGGAGCTGCATGATTTCATACAGGCCACGTTCCTTGAAAATCTCAAAGATCTGGATGAAAATAACCAGAGGAATTTTATTGATGCATTTCTTGTTCGACAGAAAGAGGTAAGAGCATTCCAAATATGCAAAGAATTATAGCTGATTTTTTTTTCTTTTGCATGTTTTAAAAATATTCTGGCTGGTACCAGAATACATGCAGCTGGAGAAAATCCTTGTTTTAGAAATGTCCAAGAAAATAATTTCCTGGAATGAAAGCAAGAAGTGAATATGTCTGTATAGTTTGGACTCTCCACATCTTCAGGTTCTATGGGGAATATAAATTATAAAATATAAAAATTAATAAAAATTATTAACCTCCACCAATATGGCCATCATTAATTAGGTTATGAGATTTCCAATTATTTGGCAGCTCCACATCTTCCTGAATTCTTGATAGATAGCTTTCAATTCTTTCTGCAGCTTCCTTGCTGGCCAACAGATTCACTGTTTGTGTGATGTCTTTATTCCTTGCATATCTATTAAAGCTATTACAATGTTTGTATAATTTTCCCTATAAAAAGCAATACTGTTTGTTTGTAGCAGTTGAGTGAAGCAGTCATATGGGGGTCTTGCTTAACAACCACTTTTTTCAATGTCCAATTGTGGTCATAAGTCAAATATTATCTGTAGTTTCACGTCTATTGTCTCTCATGGAGGGATAATTCCAGTAGGGAGATACAGGTGAAACTTGAAAAATTAGAATATTGTGCAAAAGTTCATTTATTTCAGTAATGCAACTTAAAAGGTGAAACTAATATATGAGATAGACTCACTACATGCAAAGCAAGATAGTTGAAGCCATGATTTGTCATAATTGAGATGATTATGGCTTACAGCTCATGAAAACCCCAAATCCATAATCTCAGAAAATTAGAATATTGTGAAAAGGTTCAATATCCAAGGCTCAAAATATCACACTCTAATCAGCTAATTAAGCCGTAACACCTATAAAGGGTCCCCGAGCATTTAAATGGTCTCTCAGTCTGGTTCAGTAGAAATCACAATAATGGGAAAGACTGCTGACCTGACAGTTTTGCAGAAAACCATCATTGACGTCCTCCGTAAGGAGGGAAAGCCTCAAAAGGCAAATAAAGTTGGATGTTCCCAAAGTGCTGTATCAAAGCACATTAATAGAAATGTGGAAGGGAAAAGTGTGGAAGAAAAAGGTGCACAAGCAGCAGGGATGACCGCAGCCTGGAGAGGATTGTCAGGAAAAGGCCATTCAAAAGTGTTGGGGACTTTCACAAGGAGTGGACTGAGGCTGGAGTCAGAGCATCAAGAGCCACCACACACAGATGGATCCTGGACATGGCCTTCAAATGTCATATTCCTCTTGTCAAGCCACTCCTGAACAACAAACAACGTCCGAAGCGTCTTACCTGGGCTAAAGAAAAAAAGAACTGGTCTGTTCCTCAGTGGTCCAAAGTCCTCTTTTCTGATGAGAGCAACTTTTTCATCTCATTTGGAAACCAAGGACCCAGAGAAGAATGGAGAGGCATACACTGCAAGATGCTTGAAGTCCAGTGTGAAGTTTCCACAGTTTGTGTTGATTTGTGGAGCCATGTCATCTGCTGGTGTTGGTCCACTGTGCTTCATTAAGTCCAGGGTCAATGCAGCCATCTATCAGGAGATTTTGGAGCACTTCATGCTTTTTTCCGCAGATGAGCTTTATGGGGATGCTGACTTCATTTTCCAGCAGAACTTGGCACCTGCCCACACTGCCAAATGCACCAAAACCTGGTTCAAAGACCGTGGGGTTACTGTTCTTGATTGGCCAGCAAACTTGCCTGAACCTTTTCACAATATTCTAATTTTCTGAGATTGTGGATTTGGGGTTTTCATGAGCTATAAGCCATAATCATCCCAATTATGACAAATCACGGCTTCAACTATCCTGCTTTGCATGTAATGAGTCTATCTCATGTAGTAGTTTTACCTTTTATGTTGCATTACTGAAATAAATGAACTTTTGCACATATTCTAATTTTTCGAGTTTCACCTGTAGTCAGGTGGGCCCTTGGGAAGCAACCTTTTTATCTCTATTTACTGTATAAACATTGGGATATTAATTATTGTGATATGGGTTGGTATATGTAGTGAATGCTCTTCTAACTGGTTCAGAAACTGATCAGTGCAGGAGAAGAGGAAAGCCATTCTTCCTTTTTTAATGAAACTGTCACCTAGGGAAATCCATGGAAAAGTGAAGGTTTGCTCTAAAACCTGAAGTCTTTCTTCTTAGTGATAATTAAAATAAAATCCCTCTTCATGAAAGAAAGCATTGACCTGGCATGTATTGAGAAGAACTGGCAGAGAAACATGAAAGAAGTTCATCACAATTTTTCTCCAAACTCATTCCTGGTTCTTCCATTGTCATCATTCACTGGAACATAATGAGCAACAGTCACTTGACCTACATAGTCATAGCAAAAGGATGTCTTGAGTTCATGTATCCTGACATTATATTTTTGCCATTTCTGTGGTAATTGATCCTAATTTTAATTCTGCTGCATACATTGATAAATGCCAATCTATAAGACCAAGCTGTCTTCGTTAGATCAATTTTCTCCCTCAATTTAAATGTCAAGATAGGAAGCATTTTAATTTGTCTTTATTTCAATTCATTCAATAACTCGTGGTCTTTACCATATATTTCTCATTATCACACTATTGCTTTGGCCATCAACATATAGGTCCACGAACCCTTGTATCAATCAGGTCTTTGGTCAGTCAAGACCGTCACATACTGTTTTGTGGTAGGGTAATCAGTGTTAGTTATGACAAAAATTGGGATTGGAATTTTAGTTGCCGAGTGATGGTTGTGAAGTACAACCTAACTGCTTCGTGATGAAAACCCCCCTGAAATTCTTACTACCATTGTTAACTGAATTGTAGTGGTTGCTAGGTGAGAGCCTGCTATAGCTTCCCACAATCAAAGTCAGGGGAGAACTTGCCCATTCCCAGAGGTTTCCAAGCAGCTGGCAAGTAGTTGCTGCTGGGTGTGGAATGGCATGCAAGGATATGGTGGCTGGAGCAGTCCAGCACAAGTACAGTATGGCTTGGAGTGGTTGCTGCCAGAGAGGAATGAGTGAGGGCAGGGGTGGGATTCTACCGGTTCACACCTATTCGCTAGAACTGGTTGTTAACATTTTAAGCAGTTTGGAGAACCAGTTGTTAGGAGAAATTACTGGCCTAATCCTGTAAGGAAGGCTGGTGTTGCTTACAAAAACTGCCTCTCCATTAACCCTTATTACATTCTTGGCAGGACTGGACTTCCTGTCTCAGGAACGTTTCTGGAGTTTTTTCCCCCTCCTTTGCTGGTACTTTGCTTGTGTGGAGTGACCATTCAAAGTTACAATGGCACTGAAAAAAGTGACATGGACATTTTTTTTAAAATAAAGTTTTATTTGGGTTTTCACACACAAAATACAAGTAAAACATCTTTTTTGAAAATAGCATGGTCCCGGGTTGAACTTCTTTATACAGACACAAAACTCAATTTCATGCTCCTTTTTGTATTCTATTCCATATCTTATACTATTTTACATTTTCTATATAGTTTTTCCCCTCTTTTAATTTTCTCAATTTTATTTTGATTAGCTCATCTCAATTCAAATCATTATATTTATACTTTTGTCTGTTCTGTTTCAATTTCATATTATCTTTTCTCATTAAACAAATTTTCTCCTGTAGTTACTAATTGGAGTATGACACCTTTATATCTTTTAATTACATCCATTCAACTCTTATTTAAACTTCAATATATACCTTAAGTTTATGACTTTAAATATAATACATAATACATAACTTCCAATCGAATTCTGCTTGGCACATTCTTATAATACACACTATATTCTTTAAAAAAAGAAAGAAAGATTGTAAATATATGGAATTATAAACCCTCATTCCATTCCAGTTCAGTTCTATCATTAATAATCATTAAAATCTTAACATCTTTAACACTTCTTTTCAATTAAATATCATACTTCCTTAAAAACACATATAATCTCCATAATTAATTTTTCCCTTATTTCTCTTCACATGTGTTTTATAAATCATTAAATATATCTTTTTGTTACATTTATTTATTGACAAGCATTCCACTGAATTACGATAGCTATTTTATCAGACATTTTAATCATACATTGTTTCATATTTTCTAAAATTATTTCTGCTTCAAATATAACTATACTATCTTATGTACCTTTGCAGAATCCCTTTTTCCATTAAGATTTCACCCATTATCTCTAAATAGACCCCGTTTCTCTATATTTTGCTTCTGTCCTTTATAACTTCTTTTCCTTTCTTTCTTCCCTCTCATCTTCTCCCTCCCCCTTTTACCCCCTTGTCTCTCTAGTTCTAATTCTCTCTTCTGCATTTCCCTCTTCTGTTGCTTTCTGATTTTCTACTTATTTTTCACTCTATTTTTTTTGGAGTAGTTTTTCCCAATCTTAAACTTTCCATTCTCTTTCCCACACCACTTTCCTTTTTTTCCCCCATCTAAGATTACTTGTTCATTAAAGATGACTTCTTCTTTGTCGCAATCTTCTTGTTCTGCAGGCATTTCTTGTTGTTTCTCATAATTCCAAATCTCCATTTCTAAAAACTGAAATACGAAGCCAAAAGAACCTCTCCCTTCTTGTGCATCTTTGTACTTTTTAAGTTCCATTTTCAGTTCTTCTAAAAGTGGTGCCATTTTAAACAGTTTTAAACATCAACCCGATTGATTTTAGTCATTCAAAACAATAACCAAGAATCCAGAAATCATCAAGTAATCCAGATAGTCCCGAGTTATATCTTCTTATTTCTTTTTTGACTTTCTCTTCCTGGGGTTTTTGTTGCAAAATTTCAGTTAGAATGTATCTTTTGGAAGTCTTGTTGAGATTTTGCTGTAAGTTCTTTTTTAATTCCAGGCAGTCTCCTCCCTTCCAGATCCTGCCCTTTTATTCTTCCTCTCTCC